AGCCAAAGTTCCTTCCTCTTAGGCAACCTGAGAAGCTCTCCTTCTCCCGGGGCCGGCCCCAAGGCCCCGCCATGGACAGCGAAAGCGAGGTGGATTTTTCCAGCAACGGCGTCACCCCTTTGTGGCGGAGACGGTCCACCCCTCCTCTCCAGCTACTTGGCCGGAGCAAGCCTCGGCCACAGTCCTACCAGAGCCCCAGCGGACTGTTGATAACCGACTTCCCGGTGGAGGAACTGGCGGCTCTGCCCGTGCCGCAGACTCCCTCCCGTGTGTCCGCCGCCCCGGACGGCAGGATGGTTTCCAGGAGCCCCCAGCTTCTGTGCCCGCATCGGAGGCCGGTGACCAATGGTCGCTCGGTGTCCCCGGACTATAGAGCTGCTTCTCCTCGACTTCGACGACCCAAGTCACCCCTAGTTCTTCACGCGGCGTCGGGCGGCTCCCCGAAGCCCTCCGCTAATGGCACGGTGGCCTCGTCCGCGGCGCTGTTGGGCGCATCTCGGACTCCCGACGCTCCTGACCCGGAGGAGGATCGCACCGTCGTAACTGCCAGTAAGGTATCTTCTCCCATTGCCAATGGCCTTGTCCCTAAAAACGACTCACCTGGCTCAGCTTCACTAACTGGTCAGACGGCTAGGGACTTGGAGCCCGGGTCCTCGAGACTCTCCCCTGCACCCCAGCACAGGTCTTCAGAACAAAAACTGCCGCTCCAAAGGTTGCCCTCCCAAGGGAATGAGCTCCCGAACCCTTCCGTGGTTTTGAGTACCAACAGCCCCGCCGCCCTCAAGATGGGAAAGCAACAGATAATCCCGAAAAGCCTTGCCTCGGAAATTAAGCTGAGTAAATCCAATAGTCAAAATGTAGAGCCCCACAGGAGGCTCCTCAAGGTGCGCAGCATGGTGGAGGGACTGGGAGCACCCCTGGGCCACGAAGGGGAGGAAGGCGAAGTCGACAACGACTTGGACAGCCCGGGCTCTCTGCGGCGAGGCTTGCGGTCCACTTCTTACCGAAGGGCAGTGGTCAGCGGCTTTGACTTTGACAGCCCCACTAGCTCAAAGAAGAAGAACAGAATGTCCCAGCCTGTTCTGAAGGCAGTGATGGAAGACAAGGAGAAGTTCTCTAGCCTGGGAAGGATAAAGGTAGGACTGGGCAGACTCACTTGCCTTCATTAAACTCAAAGTGAACGTGTTTGGGACAAGTGTTGAATGATCATGGCACTTTTGACAACATTCTAGTAAAATGAGTTTAAATCAGTACCCAAGCCCTGGAACAGTACTCTGACTTCTGTTGTTTTGTTTTAGTCACCATGTTCCTTGTTTATAGCTGATTACTATTAATCATTGAGTGTATTTGACAGACTAGTAGCTTAGAACTTGAGTGAGGGTATGAGGTGATATATGCTGATAAAGGCCTAGCAGTTGCACTTATTGAATATTTTTTTCCATTTCGACCTAAAGGAAAAAAGACAACTAGACAGGGGTATTTTGGAGTAGGTGCCACTTTCTTAGACACAAGACATATCTAAGCATAGGGCAAAGCCTGCCTTTGGCAGTCACAATTTTTTTTTTGATTAATCAGAGAACTGGAACAAGTCTATATAAATGTCAAATATGCAATACACAAACAAACCTGTTTCATTTTAGACATATGGTCTTAAAGAAAAGACATAACATAACATTTTATGTACACCCCCCCCCCACACACACACACACTGACACAGCTGTCAAGGATAGCAAAGTTCAGTTTCACAGTGAGAGTGAATCAGGTAGTGAACTGTGTGGAAATGCTGGTCATTTGAGGATTCTTAGTCTGGTTTAAGGGCATGTGGGGGGTGCTGTGCATTTTATTTGACTGTTTGTGAATTGGCATGGGGATTCTCTGCGGTGTGCTTTTGGGAATCTGAGGGATATAACAAAAGGGCACGTTTACTTACAGGCTCATTCATACATAGTTTGCTTTTCCCCCCCCCCCTTTTTTTTTTTTTTGCTTTCCTCTTCTCTTAGAAAAAAATGCTGAAAGGACAAGGTACATTTGATGGGGAAGGTAAGCATTTAATTTTCCAGTTTTCCAATAAAACTGAAATTTATTGCAATTTCAATGTGACACATCAATTATAAGTTCAAAACTAACTGAAGTAACAAAGACACTTGAGATGAAAACACAGAATTGCCCAACTTTGTCTTGGACTCTACAGTGCAAAGCTGTGTTCACTAAGCTAAGGTTTTTACTCATGAGGGAGCATTTTTATAAGCTGATAACTTTTTCAGTTTACATCTTGGGAGCTTCATTCTTCTTTCTTCTTTGCCCTGGCTCCGTCCCCAGCTGCAGAGCAAGCTCTGGCTCTTTAATTGACACTTGGATCTTATGTGGTTTTTCCTTAGGCCACATTTTTTTTCTTCCTTAATATTATTTTCACCATATTTCCACCTTTGATTTTCACTTGTGACTTCCTGTTTTCCTACTAAGTTTCTCCTTTGGGGAAATGCAGCTTTTCTGGTGGAAAAAACAACAATCTTGAGAATTTGTGACTTGTATATTATTTGTTGTTAAGGATTTCAAAAGCACAAGCAGACTCAGCCAGGTGTTCACATGCTAATCAGATTAGTAGACTCTGTAAATAGATGGGTCAGGTGTCAGCCAACTGGAGCAGCATGAAGGGGCAGTCTCAGGCCTTCCCCTGAGACTCCTGGGGACAGTGAGTGGATTTACTTTCATGCTTTTACCTTTATGTAAAAGCATGAAAGCTTTCTACCTTTATGTGAAAATGAAGGAAAGTATGCCCCACTGTAAGAAAAGCTAAAGGAAAGCCATGTAGATTTAATATTTAATTTGGGTGATTGTAAAATAGTTCCTGCATAACTGCAAATGGGTAATCAATGAAGTCATTGTACTAATTGTAGAAAGTTTTGGAGAAGAAACCCAGATACAGTATTTTGGCTAATTGGGATAAATTCGTCTCCTTGATTTTATAAGTGCAGAAATCAGAAGCTCTGAGAATACTAGTAACTGGTCCCCATGACACCTCTGGCGACCCAAGCTCTGGGGCTCAGGGCTGCTGCTTCATGCACTGCTGTTTCCTAGACTATTATTGTATGACTGTGAAGCCAACAACCCTCCACTTTATTTCCTTCAGAGGATGCTTCTTGCATCTTGGAGTTTGAACTTGATTCTGTTTATGCCTTAATGGATTGGAAAATTTGAGTGTTTTAAAGTCAGAATAGGCAGTCGTGTGTTATCTCCTTGTATCAGCTGTTTCTGGGTATCTTATCTGTCCTTATACATGATGGTATAGACATCCTTTTTTGACACATGTAAGTGAAGACTACATGATTCTTAACAGTTAATGGCCTGAAAGAATGCACCTGTAAGGCAATGTTGTCCAACAGAGAGAACTTGTGGTGCTGGGTTCTTGATGTTTCTAGTCATCAACTGGGTGGCAGAGACACAAGAACTGTGCATCATTGAGCCCTATCTCATGTGAAATGAGAGTTATATGACCATAGGCCATTCTTTTGTGAGAATGAGTGAGAAATCGTATCAATGGTGTTATACATATGCTTTGTGCCTCCCCCAGGAAATACTTTATAACTGCAGAAACCAAGTTTGACTTACTTATTTGCATATGTAGGACAGCCACAGAATAGTAAAGTCTTGCATAGACTCTGCAGACTACTGTAGGCACTGTACACACAGAGATATCTGTGGTTGCCAAGAGAAGAAGCAGATGTGGGGAAAGTCTTTCTAAGTCCCTAAGCCCTCTATACCAAACTCAGAATCTTCCCCCTCATGACTGAGTCTCTTCTGATGTTCCTGTCTTCTGCTTTCTAGCTGTATAATGGGAGGGTTTTGAAAGCTTAAACCTACTTCTGTCTCCCAGAAGATCCAGTCTGTCACCAGTCTATTCTAAGTGGCACAGCTCAGTAGTTACCTATCAGTCACTAGTCCACTGGCATGTCTGGGTAGCTAGTATTTGCTACCATTGAGTCAAACTGGCACATTGAAGCAAATCTGTTTCTGGTGGGTTACCTTGCATTCGGGATAAAATACAATCGTTACAGTGTGAAAGAAACCAAATCCTTCTGAACTCAGGATAAAATCTAATTCTTTTCTTTAGATTATTTAGATTTGGACTTTGTGGCTCATCTCTGTAAACAGGTCTTGCATTGTTTGACCACCTGGTACAACTGCCTTGACCTTCATTGGAGCTCCTAAGGTTTATATTTCTTCTTGCTTCAGAGTGTGTCCATCTCCTTTTTCCCTGAGCTCTGTTGCTTTTTTACTTTGAGAGCTTAGATCTTCCTCATTGATGCCTCTCTGACTCCCAAGGCTGTATCACACTCTGGCAGTTCTATCAGTGCAACTCTACACACATATCTTCCCTTTTGTCGCTATGTATTTATGTGACATCATGGGCCCTCAACCCTTCAATAACTTGTGATCCCCTTGGAGCAAATATCAGGGTTCTTTTAGTGGCCCAATATGACCTGCCTGCACTCACTCTCACCTCTCACCTTTGTGATTCCAGCCCTCTGCTGGTACTCCCACCACACTGGCCTTGCTGCTTCTTGTCCATACAGACATAGTAGGCAGACTCCTGCCCCAAGGTATTTGTACTTATGGTTCACTCCCCTGAAATGGGAGATGGCTCAGCAGATAAAGTGTTTGCAGCACAAACATGAGGAACTGAGTTTGTATTACCCAAACCCACATAAAGCCAGGTGTGGTAGAACACATGTGTAATCCAAGTGTTCGTGTGTTCAGCTGATGTGTGCAGCTGTGACAGAAAGCCTGTGGCCAACAAGGTGGACAGCATAGACAGACAACAGACATTGTCAGGTATGCTGTTGTATCCCTGTGTGATACACACATACACACACACACACACACACACACACACACACACACACACACACCTATTTCTCCAACTGTACAAATGGCTTGCCTTCTTACCTCTTATGTCTTGCCTTAATTATGTCTTGGGAGGCCTTCCTAAACTACCCTACTTAAAATGAACTGAACTTTTGTCCCAGAATTCCTACTCCTTTCTATCATTTGTTTTTCTCCATGACAACATGGAGAAAATTATATTTGAAATACTATGAAAGTTAATTGTTTATTTCAGTCCTCCTTCATTTTATGTAAGCTTCATGAACGTTGAGATTTATCTTTTTTTTTTTTTTTTGTCCATTGTATTCCTAGTTGCTTAGCAGTTGCTGGCATCTAGTAGGCATTTCCTAAATGTCAGTTGGATGAATAAATGCATTAGTATGGAGTTCATTCTTTTTTACTAACTTATCAGTTCATGAAGGGATAAGAAGTATCTTTTCCCTTATTTTTAGAAAAATAAGGTTTTATAGATGTACAGTAGATGTTTGCTAAACAGATAATTGAATGGACAAATAATAGACATTGAAGAAAACATAACATGGATTCATTTTGACCTGAATTACAATGGGTGATGCTGATCATCTTTCATCATATTGAACAGAGACATTGCAACTTTGCTTTAGTTGGAATGTCATATACTCTTTGGTGACAAAATATATTTGTTTTTTCCAGCTATTAATTAAGTCAGTACTAAACATTGTATAGAGGTAGACCTTTGTTTAGAGCAAGTAGCATGGCTATTGGGGGCAATCAGTGACATATCTGGTTTGTTTTCCTGAAGAAAATGCAGTGCTGTATCAAAACTACAAAGAAAAGGCCCTAGATATCGACTCTGATGAAGAGTCAGAGCCCAAAGAGCAGAAGCCAGAGGAAAAGATTGTGATTCACCATAAGCCACTGAGATCCACATGGAGCCAGCTCTCTGCGGTGAGTGTTTGCATTCTTCTTTTCCATCTGTGGGAGGAAAAGGCCAATTTGTGGAAATCGCGCATGAATGTGGCCTTTATATTTTTCTACCAATGATCCTGTAATTCACAGAAAAAAGACTCTTCAGATTATAAAATGTTTCTGGAAACTGCAGACGTTAATAAGGACATGAAGCTTGGCACTTCTGATCAGGAAAGGCAGGGTTGATCAAATGGCATGACATGCCTTAGACTGATGTAGTGAGGACTCAGTAAATTCTCACTCTGCCTTCCTTTTTCTTTTTAATACAGTGTGCATATAGTGATAATATACCCCAGATATTTTCATAATTGGCTATATGTTTGTGTATAAATGTGTTCTATGGGTATGTACGTATATTTGTGTGACATGTAACAATGGGAACTCAATTACATTTATTTCTTAGACATTTTATTTGATATAAACATGGATATTTTCTTGAGTTAGTTAATGAATATCCCTTCTCTGTGTGTCTTCTGCGTATGTTGTTTGTAATAATGTGTAATTTCTTCTTTGTGGGTCAAACATACTTGGTTTTTAGCCACAGTCAGTTTTCTTCCTGGCTTATATAAAATGCCATGTGTTTCTCTGTTTTCATAATGGAATTTGGGCATACTATGTCTGACTGCCTGACACATTAGCAAGTTGAAAGGACTTCCTGTGGCTAGACATGGGTGGTAAAGACATTGCATCAAAAACAGGTCAGTGACGCTCTGAGTGTCTTACGTACTACCGGGACAGGGACAGCTCCCTCTTAAGCCATGCTGAGTGTTGTTCAGTCATGATTCTCATGGGCTTTGGGAAGCCACTAGCATAGCAAATATTTGCTAAAGGTAGGGGGAAAACTTCTGGTTCAGACTATGTCTCTCCTTGTCTAACCTATATGTAACTTCAAAGTCTGGATCAAGTCCCTTCTCCCCATCCCTTTGCAGACAGGGTCTCACTATGTAGCTCTGGCTGACCTGGAATTCCCCATGTAGACCAGGCTATGCTGGAACTCACAGAGATCCACCTGCCTCTGCCTCTTCAGTCTTAGGACTGAAGATGTACGCCATCATACCTGGCTGTCTGCTTCTCCTAATATTGTTCTAGAAAAATTCTGTTCCTTTCTGGTGCTTCCAAGCTGTGGTACCTATGATTATGCCCAGAATTATCCTGCTGATTGATAGAGAGCCACAAGGCAGTCAGTGAGAATCAGTGATTCTTTTGAATGTGGGTAATAGGGAGTAGGGGATTGTGATGGGCAGGCCCCTATAAATTGGACAACTACTTCTTACCTTAAGTCAGGAAACAACAAAGGCTCATTATTGCCAGGTCCTCTGATACAGAAACCCAGACTTTGATTTGTATTATCTGAATTTAAGTATTAGGGAAATGTTATGTGAAGTCTGCAAAATATCTGTATCTCTCCAGGAATAGTGTGCTGCTTCTGTGGCATTCTTAGGATTTTTTGTATGGGGCTAGATAGTAAAATGTCTCCAGAAAGTTGGTGTATTAGTAATATTATACTCTAATACAACCATCTGATGATGCATGTATCAAAATAGATACCTGGAAAATGTGGCTATAAGTGATTGTCGTTCAGTTCATTCATGTGTTGAAGTGAACCGTTTGGTAAAGGATATGGGAGAAAACACCTGTTTTTGACTTTTCTTTTGTGACAGCAGCTGTACTTGCTGTAAGCCTAAGTCCTGGGAATGGTTCTTTAACTCTGGGCAGAGATTCGGACTTCTGTGTCACTTACAGTTTCATCCAGCTTAACTTCAGCACTGAAAAGGAGGCTGCCATGTTCCTGACCTCCTGGTGTCTGGCTTTCATTGAGATGAACAAACACAGATGCCATTAAATTGTACTGTATATTCCTCAGCACAGCTTTGCCTATGAGCTTGTGTTTTTACTTGGTCAGGAGAAAATGTGCTGATATACCTTTAACCTCAGAGTGTGGCATCTTAGATTTGAATATTCCTGGAAGCACATGTGTATTTATCGTATTCTTTGGCTGCCAAATGATTAGACTTTTGCCGTATGTATGTATGTATGTATGTATGTATGTATGTATGTATGTATGTTTCAGTATAAATCTGCATTTTCTTTGCATCCTCTGTATTCCCTTTCATTCACATTTTATTTTATCATATTATAAAGTGCTGTTAACATTTAGAAAAGTTTTTAAAAAAAGCAAGCAGACATTCATAAAGGTAGTAGATCTCCATGTACCCACCAACTATAAATAACGAATATTAATATTTTAACGCATATTTTTCAGCTTCTGTTTTTGAGGCAATCCAGGTCAATATCCCTGCTGCCCTGATTCCCTTCTTTTCTCTCCAGAGAATCACTACCATGAGGGTCTTTGCCTTTTCCATATGGTTTTCCTTTTTTCTAAAATTCTTATTAAGATAGTCTTTCTGTTTAGCCGAGGGTATCCTCATTTATCTTGTCTTAATCTTCTGAGGGCTAGGATTACCTGAGGTGGACTAGTACAAAGTTGAAACCAGCTCTGGAGCTTAGCAGAGTGGATACTGTCATACTAAAAGGCAGTTGCTAGAAACTTCCCGTTAATAAATGTACACATTTCAGTCAGGACTGTAAGTAGAGGAGACTCCCTGAGTAAGTAGCACGGGCATAAGTGGCTATGGTCGCTTCTCATCTGTCTGCCCTCGTGTCCTGATGCTTCCTCAGAGAGTAGAGGCAGTACCGAAGGCGGTCCTCAGAAGACTTCTGCCACTGAGACTGGTTTATCATCTTGCCATGCTTAACTTTTAATGGGTAGTCCCACCTACCATCCTTGCATGTATCACTTTTATCCAAACTCTTCCTTGAATGTGGCCTTGCTCCCTGGAAGAGAACAAGACAAGCAATTTCTAGCAGTTGGCATGATTCAATTTGGCATACATTTAACTTTTTACTTAAGAGGGCTCTGTGTGGGTGCACTTGCGCCTTGGCCACGGTTGAATGTTTAGTTTTGAAAAATCTCTTATCTCTCTTGCAAACACCTGCCTGCCATCTAGTGTGATGCAATTTTCTTATCTGTCGACTGTATGGAGCATGCAGTATGCCAAAGTCTCTTTTGATGTGCAGCAATTTGCTGTAATTTATGGCTGTTATATAAGCTCTTTAAGCATTCATTCTGTAGTGTAATTTATCTGAGTGTTTTTATGCATATGACTCCTTTGATTTCGTTGGGTAGTGCCAGGTAGGAAAGTGCTGGGCTTTGGGCTGCACAGGTGGCAGGCGGTCCTCATTTAAAGGAACTGGGCAGTTTTAACTGTGTTGCTATGATCATTTAGGGATAAAGGAGAAGTAGATCTGTGTCAGAGAAACATAGTAAAGTACTCCCTCATTGGAATGAGCATTTAGATTGCACAGACTTAAAGCCAACTGGTGGTGTATACATTTATCAGTGTTGTCTCAGCCCACAAGTTCCCCATGCAGAAATGGCATGCTCTGTTGTCATCCAGAATGCAGCCACATTCATTCGTCTCCTAGGATGGGACAGGTTCCGACCTCATCCACTTGACTATGTCAATTCCTTCCTTCAGGGTTGTACTGGATTTCGGTACCCCATAGCTGTTTAAATATGGAAGGGATTTGGGGTTTTGAGCTTATGAAGTTGTTTGGACCGCAAGAGATGGTTATCTGGAACTGTGCCCAGAATCAGGGAACCTGCTGCACACAGGTGAATGGCTTAGTGACTCACCGAAATCGAAGGCATGAACCCGAGCCAGCAGTTCTTGGGGCTCTGGGAAAAGCTGTGGGTTTAAAGGACAGTATTGACTGTGTTAGTCAGGGTAGAACACTGGGTACCTGTTAGGCTGAGTGCCAGGTGCACTGCCAGTTGAACCTGCCTGGAAAGTGAGCTCTGGCTTCCTCCAAAGTTTTGTTAAGGATCATAGGAGTATCCCTCTTTTCTGCATGGACTTTTGCTTCTCATCATTATATCTCACCCCAGCACATGCTGGGGACATTTAAGAAGTGATTTGTGAAACCAGTGTATATTCATTTACATTCAGTGGCAGCACCAAAGCAACACTTGCCAGCCATGCCCTGACCCCATTGCAGTGGGGTGGGGTGTGTTTGTATAATTTCTATTACCTTGAAATGCCAGGTACCTTTGAGAAGGGTGTTCAGGCTCCCGGGGCAGAAGCTGGAACATGCCGGCATAATTTCCACACCTAATATAGTCATCCTCTCATGGGCTCTTCTGTGCTTGCTGGCTTGCGGCTTTATCAGTCATCATCCATCAGTTCAGATGTTTCTTCTGTGTGCTTACAGAATTCAGACTCTCTGGTCAGGGTTTTTTTTTTTTTTAACATTTTCATCAGAGTGTTTTGGCTGTGTTTAGTGGCTAATGCTGTGATGTGGAATCCAGAATTAGGACCTTCTACTCCCTGCTTCTGCATATGTGTAGTCCACTTTGGGAGGCTTTTGCGGACTTGCGGAAATGAGGAAGGGAAGCCAGGGCATTCACAAGAATAATGTTGCCGGGTTAAAGATAAAGCATGTCTTTTGAGTTTTAGCAGTATTATCTGATGGGACTTAGTTGTTTAGGATTTGGATTGTACATATTGCAGAAGATACTGTTTTTGCCTAAAACCAGAGATCAACAAACGTTAAAACCATGAATATCCTTCCTTTTTGGAGAAATGCTTAATACATTTAAAAGCCAAAGAAAACTTTCATTCTGGTCTTTCAATTTTAGCATTTGCCCACACTTGTTGCTTAAAATAGTAGCTTCCACGGCCCAATAAAATTTAACTAATAGTTTTATAAGACAGCAATCTCATAAAGTTATTTTTAAAAACTTAGATGGCAATTTAATGGTGTCTACTATATCTTTTGAGCCTAATTTTCCACTACACTCTTTTATCTGGTGGGCACAATGATGGACCCATGCCCACATGTACTATAGTGCACACTGGAGTTCAGAGTGTACAACTTTTGGTAGTTGGTTTTCTCAGGTCCCAGGGAGTGAGATTAGG